AAAGAGAGAGAGAGAGAGAGGAGGAGGAGGGGGGAGAGGGAGAGAGAGAGAGAGAGAGAGAGAGAGAGAGAGAGAGAGAGAGAGATCTGTATAGGAATTTTGTAAACTGAAAGCAAAATTTAGAGGGAAAATATTTAGGATAAATTTAAAAGGAACATTTTGCAAGAGAGTGTTGGAGATAATCATCTTTGCTGATGTCCCCAACCAATGGCAGAAAGCCTTCATATGAGTTAAGGACTCTGTTTTGAAATACAGAACTTGTCTAACTATCACATGAATCCAGAGTTGCCTTTTTGCACCACACCCATCTGTTAATACAAAAGATTTCAAACTGAGATGTCAGGGGTGGTTTTATAGTCCCTTGGGAAGATGAGTAGGCAATAAATCTCACTGCTAGCCCAATTTAACTGTTTTCTCATTATTCTGTAGGGCTAAAAGTGGAGGAGGGGGGAGAATTTGGCAAATGAAGAGGCTGAAATTTTGAAATTTATTGGCTGAAATCACTATGGTGAATTTCAATTGCAACTCTATGGCTGATGGTTTTATATTAGAAACAAAGTGGTTCTCAATTCCATCCCTAATTATATGCAATAAAGAGGCAGTTTGAGATTGCTTCTCTGATGCTGTCCCTTTTGATAATACCTTTATTTCATCAATGACATGGGAGTATGAATCAGTGAACTAGGAAATTTTGCTCCTAGAAAAATTATCTACATGTCAAGAACAGATTTGAGAATTACAAGCTATAGGCAAAGTTGCTATTGTAAATGTAGATAGGTGTCTATTCGTTTTATTTCTCTCTTCTTAAACTTCCCTATGGCACTTAGGCCCTGGATGAAAATTCATGCAGATGTTAAAGTTTTCCTCATCAAGCTATATAATCAATTGTAAGTTTGCTTTTAACATCACTATGTGTCAACACACACACACACACACACACACACACACACCTACATTTACTGCCCAGAAATGTTGGTCATTTAACAGAGGATCACTGTGGACTGGTGACCTTGTGGTCTTCAGAGGTCACAGAGTACTTTTGTGCAGATGACTGTACATGGCAATTTCCCAAGTGAAGTCTGCGGACGACATCAGAGGGTCAGCTGCACTCAGGGCTGGACCTGGGCTTCAGAGGCAGAGAACACCTTCCTTTCACCTGAGCAGTATTGAAAGCATCAGTGAGATGATATCAGTAAACAGATGCATTGAAATTACACCAGTGTTAAAAATGAAACCCACTGGGGCTGTAGCTCAGTTGGAAGAGTGGTTGCCTAGCATATATGAAGCCGAGGGTTCAATCCCCCAGAGCCCCATAAACCAGGTATAGTGGTGCACATCTAGAAACCTTATACTCAGGAAGTAGCAGAAGGATCAGACATTCAAGGTCATTCTCAGCTAAATAGTAAGTTTGAGACCAGCCTGGGTGACATGAGACCTTGTATCAAATCTAGAAAAAAAAATGGAACCTTAAAGATTCATTGGCCAGCATGGATTTTAAACACATCAAGAGTTCCTGTGAAAGGTAATCTCTCCATCCCTTACTGAAGCGTATGATGATTCTGAGGACATGTGCATGTGTTAATGATTCCTGAGTGCCTGCTATAGAGTTACAGAGAGAAGGAAGCCTCCAGGTCCCCCAGCAGAAAATTAAAGGGATCAAAGGGAGAAATAATGAGTGACCTGGCCGATTGCTTTCCTCTTACATGGACAAGTCCTTTGTAGCCACAACCCTGCCAGTATTTAAAAGCTGGCAATACATGAACACATGTGGGCTTCCCTGCCAGTAATTACCTAACATTAATTGCTATCCAAAATACGTGTATCAGCAAACTGTCTGCCACACCAGGAGAGGTGCAGGCAATAAAACAGCCAAATCAGCATTCTTCGCCATTTGCCTGGAAGACTCATTAGTCTGAGTGATCTTTATACTTCTTTTTTACCACCACACTAAGAAGTAATGGTATGCACTTAGAAAATGCCTTTTGACAACTGGAGCTAGTTTCCAAAAGGGGGTATGTAATGGTTCATTCCACTCCCCACCCAAGAACATTCCTTTTCGATTTCACACGATGCCAGCTGGAGTTTGTGCACTGTTTTGACTGTTTCAGTTTCACTCGATATTGGTTAGTCGAGATGTCAGTATTTAGTTAAGTTGAAATGCAAAAGAGACACCGCATGTAGGATGGGTGACCACGTGTTCTCTGACCCTGAAGATTTGGCAAGCCTCTTATACGACAGCTCTTCCTTCCTTCCTTCCTCTCCCTCCTTGTCTTCCTCCCTTGAAATGTAACCAAGGGTGGCACAGTCCAAGTTTAAAATGTAATCGTGGAAAGTGCTCCTGTCAGGGCGTCAGCTGCTGATCACAGCAAGCAAGCCAGTGCCAGGCTCCATCAGCCTTGATGACGCCTCTGGCACCTATCTGGAATATCAAAAAGGCAGGGGTACAGGAAGCAAGGGAGAGGAATGTCATTTTCACTATCTGAGGCTGTAAACTAACAAGGCAGAATTGTGCTGCTCTTATTTTTCATTTTTAATCAGCAACAGTGACAGTGGGCTTTACCTGGGTCCCAGGTAACAGTTCACATTTGTTACTATCCTGGCAGTCTGACTGGCTGAACTTGGAGTTTCTTCCCTAGTCAGTAACTGCCCAAAACAGACAACATCTGTCCTTAGACATGTCAAAACTGGAGAGTTTGGCCTGGACTTTTGCCCACATATCTTTGGTCAGTTCTACAATCTTCTGGTCCTGACAGTCAAGATCAAATAGGGTCATGCCTCTCTTGTGTAGAGACTATAGCAGCTTCAAAGCAACATGAGCTCTGGCTGTCTGCTTTTCTTCCTCGGCATCTTCCTCAGATGTCAAGAATGTGGTCTTAGCCTGCAATCACAGGTTCAGCATTTCCAAGAAATGTGTGAGTGTATTTGCAGGATCCCACTCTCTCAATCCCCTGCCATCACCTCTCCCACCTCCTCGCTGTCACGGAAAGGAACCCTGGCCCAAAGTCTCCCTTTAGCAAAGAGACTGGGCAGCTTTTCAAAAATGACAGCTGTTTGAGAGAAAAAAAATTGGCTGAAGTTTTTCTGGGAGAAGCTTTGAAAAGATCTAGAAACCAAGGCAGACAGAGAGGGGAGAGAAAAGGTTGGAAGAGATGAAGAGTTTAACTGGAAAGAACTGACTAGTCCAGGGGTTGGAGAAGTCCAGTCCTCCGGTGGCAGCGTGCACTGAGCAATGGCACCTCCCCATCTTTGTTCCTTCCCTCCTCACTGTCTCTCTGTCTCTCTCTGGCTTACCTTGCAACTGCCCCAGACTGTTTGCAATATTGATTTCTCATGAGCAGTTCAGCTCTCTGAGTGGACAGGAGTCCAGGCTCACAGTCACGGACAGTGGCCGTTGGCCTTCCTCCCAAAGTCAACAAGACTTTGACCCTCGTCTGAGTCTTCTGCAAGCAATGCTGGACTAAGAGGGAAACGGCCTCCTGAGATGTGGAAATGCTCCCCAGCCACGGCCCATGTGTGGTTAGCAGGAGTGAGTGGGGATCTGTTCCCATTCCTCCTAATGAGAGCCTGGCTGGGCTGGTTTGGGAAAAGCTATTATTTCAGTGGTTTCTGAGCCCTTGGGCTCATAGCTAGAGGAAACCTCTCTGCTCTTCTCAGAATCCTAAGTTATAAGCTAGCTAGTCTAGATGGCCAGTTTAGACCACAGGGAAGACCCAAATCCGGGGGAAGTACCAGTGGTGGTCATCCAAGGAGGGTGGCACTTCCTGTTTCTACACAGATCAAAGTGAAGCTCCTTGGTCAAGAACCGGAAGTCAGTTATTCTACTGCTTGCAGCCCCTAACAACCTCTTTCCAACCCAGCTGAGTTCTCAACAATCCTGGAAATCCAAACAGTTCACTTTTCACATGTAAATCCCCCTACCTCAACCCTGCTTGCCATGGGCCCATTACTTCACCTACACTAAGTGTAGTTTACTGAGGCCTCATAGCTTCTATGGAAGAAGGTGTGTGTGGTCAGTAGAATTCCAAGATGGCCTCTTAAGATTTCCAGCCCTGGCACTGGCACGCACCCTTCTTCTAATAACTCGATCCCATGCTATTGTGGGCACTGCCAAACAGATTTTGTAGATGTCCCAGGCAAGTTGCCCTTGGAATCAGGAAATTATCTGGTGAGCCTGACCTAATCATATGTACCCTAAAGCAGAGAGCCAGTGGAAGAGGAGAAACTCAGAAATTCAATGTACAATAAGGATTAGATGAGCCATTGCTGACTTGAAGAGAGGGGGACCATTTGGCAGGAGATATAAATGACTTTTAAGAGTCCAGATTGCCACCTGCTGCTAACAGACAGCAAGGAAATGGAGACTTGGGTCCTATCCCACCAGGA